CATTTAGGTCCGATCATGAAGGGTTGAGAAAAAAATCATTATCTGGACCATCGTTAGGTGTTAATAAAACTTAAAAGGACAACTCACCTTGTCCACCAGTCAACTCAGCTCTTCTACAAAACTACACCCCCCACCCCCCCAGGCTTTTCACAATAGAAGTACACTAGAGTCTCCACACAATAACGTCTCCATTATAACGTAGCGCGTTAAATCTAACCGTGCACGTCACTGAAGAGTTGTTTACTAATCAGCGATGGTGAAAACGGGATGTTTTTTTAAAAACGTTAGACCATATAAGTGGCTGAAACACACCACCCGCCGCCAGTTGTTCCAACAATAATGTTAGCATGCTAATGCACTTAGCGGTGCTGCAATGAAATGTGTCCCCAGGGAAACAGCTCACTGGRGGCTGCGACGAAACGTTCCGCACGTGTTCAGGCTATACAGAAAAGTCATATCATAACAAAAATTTAAAAACGGTTTTCGGTACAAAACGGTATATCGTCCAGCACTACTAAAAGGTTAATTAGCCAAATGTAAGTTAAAACATAACATTATTAAAATAGTAGCTAAAAGCTAAAATCAACATGGCAGTAGCTAATTGTTTAAATGTACCAAAATTGAACCTCAAAACTAAACAGAATATAGGTAAAACAAAACATAAAGCTTAGCTAAATGCTACTAGTAAAACRTAAAACCAGCATGACAGTAGCTAAAATTAGCAAAACAGTAACTATAATTAGCAAACTGCTGCTAAAAGATACGATTRAAAATAGTAGAGGAAAAACAAAAAGTTGTAAAAATTTTTTTGCTTCATGGTAAAAGTAGCAAAATTGTGGAAAACAAGCTAAAAGTTTTTAAAGTTGAGCTAAAAGGCAAAAACAAATAAAACTGTAGCTTAAGTCTAAATTTTATTTTAAGCCGCTAAAAGCTAAGATTAGCTAATAAACTTAAATTAGCGTGCCAGCAGCTAAAAGCTAGCATTAACATGACAGTAGCTAAAAAAAGAAAGGTAGCAAAATTGGAGATAAAAGCTAAGCTGAAGACACTCAGCTTAAAACTAAAATTAATAAAAGTTGTTACATAGCTAAATATATGTGAAACCTAGAATTAGCACAACAGTAGCTAAAAGTAGCATGACAGTAGCTAAAAGTAGTAAAAGTGTTGCTAAAATGTGAAAACCTGAAGAGAAAAGCTAAAAGTTTTAAAAAGGAGCTAGAAGCTAAACTGAAAAAGAAAACAGCACATAGCTAAAACTCATTTCAAAAGCGTATCTAAATTTTTTTGGTAAAACCTACAATTACGCTAAAAAATACATTAAATCGAGCTAAAAGCTAAAGTGAAGAAAAACAGCTAAAATTAGCTACATTTAGCATCAGGCCAAAGACAAACTGACTTAAATCAGCTGAAATCACATGATTTCAGGGTTTTATTCTGGATTTCAGAGTTTCTGGAACGACTCTCGGCTCTAAAGTCTTGTTTCCTTAAAGCTCCTCTCAAATCTGTCCACTGCTTCAGGACATATTTTACTAACAGAGACGAACTAAAAGACATGATGGCCTGTTCTCCATGACAGCAGGTAAACCTGAACCCGGGACATGGATGGACCAGAACCCTCTGAAAGTCAAAGGTTTGGTTTATTTTTAGAACGTGACGCGACCTGTCCCCAAGGACTCGTGTCCCCACCCGTCGTCCTTATCGACTCGCTGCAGGACCGTCCTGTCAGCCGTCTGAGACTCGTCACAGATAAACCAGTTCAGATAGACCGCCCCGCCTCGGACCAGTTTATCTCCACCAGATGTCCCCTGGTCACGCCACAGTCACAGGTCCTGGAAGTCCTGCAGCTGAGACCTACCTGAGACGCTCACAGGTCCTGGAAGTCCTGCAGCTGAGACCTACCTGAGACGCTCACAGGTCCTGGAAGTCCTTCATCTGAGACCTACCTGAGACGCTCACAGGTCCTGGAAGTCC